AGTTGGCTCATCAACCTGCTCTGTGTAAGTACATTCTGTTTAAATACCTTTTGTCTATGATTTGAATAGTCACGGCAAGATCTCCAGGATGTAATCACACAACCCCCAACTGCACATTTATATATATATATATATATATATATATATATATATATATATATATATATATATATAAAAACAAAAAAACAACCTAAGCTGCCGAATGACTCATCAACTGGCCGCCATAACACACACTGACCACCAGGGAGCAGATACTCAACTCAGGAGCTGTCCCCTGGTGGTCAGTGCACGCCCACAATGGGAGTGCCACTCAGCTAGAAGCTGGGCTTATGGCTGGTGAGTGCTGCTGTGGAGGCGCAGTGGGCTGGTATAAGCAGGTGCAAAGCCTGGCCCTCGCTCAGGCTCCTCCCAGGCCGCCTGCTGCCTTGGGCCGAAACCCGGCATCCTCTGAGGGGTCCCAGATTTTGAGAGGGCACAGGCCAGGCTGAGGGACCCCACCAGTGCATGAATCCATGCACTGGGCCTCTAGTATCCTATATAATAATCTTATATAAAAAAAAGGTAATATGCAAATAGGCCGAATGGCAGAACAACCAAACAATCAATCAAAGCATAATATGCTAGTGATATGCTAAGGCTGCTCAAATGCTTGCTATGATGCACACTGACCACCAGGGGGCAGTCAACTGATTCGCCAGTCACTATGAAGCGCACTGACTACCAGGGGGCAGATGCTCTGACAGGTAGGTTAGCTTGCTGCTGGGGCCCAGCGGATCGGGATTGAGCAAGATGGGCCAGACATGCCCCAGAGCCCTCCTGCCATCCCTCTCTGGCCTGATTGTGCACCAGTGGAGTCCCCCACCCCAGCCTGCACCCTCTTGCAATCCAGGACCCCCTCAGGGGATGTCGGCGACCTGGTTTCAGCCCTTGGGAGGTACCAGATGCAGGCTCGCGGCTGGTGAGCACTGCTGTGGCAGTGCGGACTGATCGGGTGTGAGTCCGCAGCAGGCACAGTGGGACCAGCATGTGCAGGAGGGGCGGGTGGCTTTGGACTCCAGGTTTTGGCCCAATTCCTGCAGGCCACCCAGAAGGACCCTACCCATGCATGAATTCATGTACCCAGGCCTCTAGTATGCTATAATAGAACACATTTGGAAGTCCCTGGTGTGATTCCCAGTCAGAACACCTACCTAGGTTGCGGGTCCCATCCCTAGTTAGAGCACATGTGAGAGGCAGCCAATCAATGTTTCTCTCTCACATCGATGTTTCCCACTCTCTCTTTCCCTTTCTCTAAAGTCAGTAAATATATCCTTGGGTGAGGAAGGAAGAAAGGAAGGAAGAAAGGGAGGAGGAAGGGAGGGAAGGAAGGAAGGAAGGAAGGAAGGAAGGAAGGAAGGAAGGAAGGAAGGAAGGAAGAAGATATAAAGAAAGAAAAGAATAAAGAAAAGACTGGTCCTGCTGAAACTGGTTTGGCTTGGTGGATAGAGTGTCAGCCTGCGTACTGAGGGGTCCCAGGTTTGATTCCGGTAGTTGTGGGCACATCCCTGGTGGGGTGTGTGCAAGAGGCAGCTGATCAATGATTCTCTCTCATCAATGTTTCTAACTCTCTGTCCCTCTCTCTTCCTCTCTGTAAAAAAAATCAATATATATATATATATATATATATATATATATATATATATATATATATATATAAAGACTGGTCCTAATATGCAGTTATCACTCTTCCAAAAATGCTTCTTGGGAAAAATTAACTACAATGGCCCTGGCTGGATAGCTCAGTTGGATAGAGCATCATCCCAATACACCAAGGTTGTGGGTTTGATCCCAGATCAACCAATAAATGCATAAATAAGTGGAGTAACAACTCTATCTATCTATCTCTCTCTCTCCTCGATAAATAAAAAGAATTAGCTACCACAGATTTGAGAAGGGTGAGGGAAATGATGATGTATGCAGACCCTCACTGTTCTGTGAGGTAGGCACCTACCACATGCCCATCTCCTACTATGGAGCTTTAGCCCGCCAGTGTCCCCCAACAATCCAGAGAAGTCAATACTTTTCCCCAAATTTACCAAGAGGAAATAGGCTCAGAAAGACATGAAAATACTCTCACCACCAGTAGGACTCATGACAGAAGAGCTGGAAAGGAAAGTGTCTAAGAATAAGGAGGCATCTGCCAGGGAGTGGTCCTGAGGTCAAAGGTAAGCAGACTAACAGGATAAGGAGACAGGGATACAGCTAAGAACAAGGCCGGTATGAGACCCATCATGGGCCTTGCCCTGTGGTGGGAGAGACAGACATAATTAAATCAAATAATCACACAGAATTCAGCCACTCAGCCCACAGCTGCACATACATGCTACAATAGAACACATGTGCAAGTTCCTGGTGCTATGGGAGTGTGTGACAGGGCTCGTTTTGGTCCAGGAGAGGCATTTGGGGATAGGAGCATTGAATGAGATGGGAAGATGAGTAAATGTGGGTCAGACTAAGTGGAGAAAGTTTCTGGAGAAACGAACCGTGTGAGCAAAGGTCTTAAGACCAAGTTGGAACTGAGAGAATCATTATGACTGGAGCCCACTGAAGGAGAGAAGGGTGGAAAGGAGGAAAGCAGAAATGATGGGGCCATGTGGGAGAACAGCCAGCAGGGGGCAGAGTTCACTGGGAGCAGCAGCCTTGCTCTTCCAGGGCTCTTAGCCAGAGAAACTGGCCAGGCTGCAGGGGGAGAAAGGGCTGGGGCAAGGACACCAAGGCCAGGGCTGTGTAAGTTCGGTTGGTCTATTATTTGAATAGGTAGGTCGCACAGTACAAAATCCTCAGGATGGGAAAAAGTATTCAGGGAAGAGCTAGCCTTCAAGCCCTAGCTGGGTAGCTCAGTTGGTTAGAGCACCATCCTGATATGCCAAGGTTGCAGGTTTAATCCCAGGTCTGGGTACATACAAGAATCAACCAATGAATGTCTATCTTTCTCTCAGATGAAGGAATGAGTGAATGAATGAATGAATTTAAAGCCAACCTTTCTCCTTATTCTGATTCCCAACAGCTGGTCCCCGCTCCCCTTAGTGATAACTACCATACAGATTCATTGTGTCCATTCCCAGATAGTCTATACCAACCTTTTTCATCTCATTGGCACACATAAACTAATCACTAAAATTCTGCAGCACACCAATATATATATATATATATTTTACCGATCTGACAAAAAAAATAGGTATAATTTTGATTAATTCCTACTGGACAGCTACTATTGTGTTGGCTGTTCCTTTTTTTTTTTTTTCATTTGAAAATCAAAGGGAAAAGAGGTTAGTGCCCCTGATTAAATAGTCAGGTGTGCATGTTTTAAATTCTTGTGGCACATCAGTTGAAAATGAGCGGCCTATGCGCATAAAAACACACACTATATTTATATTTTACACTAGTTCTGGTTTTGACACCTCCCTAAGGGACCTCTAGTTGTGAAAGAAGCTAATTTGTACTGAACACCTACTGCACGTGATTCTTTTTTTTTTTAATATATTTTATTGATTTTTTCACAGAGAGGAAGGGAGAGGGATAGAAAGCCAGAAATATCGATGAGAGAGAAACATCAACCAGCTGCCTCCTGCCACTCCTCACCAGGATGTGCCCGCAACCAAGGCACATGTCCTTGACTGGAATCGAACCCGGGACCCTTGAGTCCGCAGACGCTCTATCCACTGAGCCAAACTGGTTTCGGCTACACATGATTCTTTTATTCAGCTCAGAGTTACGGAGCATCAGACCACTTGCACTAAGCTGGTGGGTCACAAACCTTCACTCCCCTGGAAGGCTTGTTAAAACACAGGTGCTGGGCCCCACCCTGAGAGTTTCCGTTTCCGTTTCCTGGGGTCTGGGTGTAGGGGGGGGGGGGGGGCTGAGAATTTTCCTTTCTAACGGGTTCTCAGGTGAAGGGAACCAGCTTTGAGGCCACGGAGCTGGCTGCTCTGGACAAAGCATGTGCCTGGTAACAGAAGGGTTGGCAAAAGTCACTGCGAAGGGGCCCCGGGTGAGATTTGAGGGGAAATCTGAAAGAGGCCGAGTTTGAGAAGGAGGTGCGATTAAGAGCTGTTTATCCCTGGATGGTAGACAGGGTGCCCTCGGGCGGGCTTGGTTTCAGGAGGTCCCAGAGGCCTTAACTGGTTTGGCTCAGTGGATAGAGCATCAGCCTGCCCACTGAAGGATCCCAGGTTCAATTCTGGTCAAGGACATGTCCCTTGGTTGTGGGCACATCCTCAGTAGGAGGGGTGCAGGAGGCAGCAGATAGGTTTCTAACTCTCTCTCTCTCTCCCTTCCTCTCTGAAAAAAAAAATCAGTAAAATATATATTTTAAAAAACAAAACAAAACAAAACCAAAAAAACAGGAGGTCCCAGGGATCCCAACAAAGCATTTTCTCAGTGAGCTGGAAAGCCCTGGGGAAGGGATGGGCAGGGAACCTGAGGAGTGGCGACAAGGCACGGGTCCAGGAGTCAGAGAGCAGAGGCGCTCAGTCCTGTGGGTGGGGACCAGGGAAGGTGTCTAAAAGGTAGCAGCTACTGGAGCTTGACGGGAGGGGACTGGGAGGAAGGAAGACATGGAGCAGCGGGGAAGGGGATCGGTGTTTGGAGAGCTCACAGGCCCGTTGCCCTGGAAACCTCACTCATCCTACCTTCACACCATTCCACATGGAAAGCGCTACATATCCCATTTTACAGACGAGGAAACTGAGACTCAGAGAGGCGAAGAGACGCGCCCAAGGGCCTTATCCTCCCGGAATGTGCGGGAAGCCTCAGGATGTGCGGGAAGCCCTGCTCCCCCCCTGCCCTCTGCTCCTGCAGACTCTGAACAAGTCCCTCTGTGTGTGTGTCCGGTCAGGGATGCCCTTGGAGATCCGCCTGGACTAGCGGAGAGGCGAGAGCCGGCCGGGCGGGGTGCCCACCTCCCTCCCAGCTCCGCCCCCGGAGGCAGGGACGGGCGCGGGGCGGGAGCGGCGGGCGGGGGCCGGGGGCGCGCCGCGCGGACAGAGTCGGCGGCTGCACCGCGCTCGCAGGGCAGCCCGCGCTTCCAGGCGTCCGCGTCGGTGCCCGCCGTGCCCGCCGTGCCCGCCATGGCCGTGGACACCTCGCCCCGGCCGCTGCCTCTGCTCCTCCTGCCGCTGCTGCTGCTGCTGCTGCTGCGCGCCGGCCCCGCGCGCGCCGAGAGCAAGGTACGCGCGGCCCTCCGACCGGGCGCTGCTCCGGGAACCGGCGCGAGGGGGCGCTGCGCCCCAGGAGGGGGGCGGGGGACCTGAGCGGAGGACCCGGGAGGGAGACCGGACCTCCGGCTCCGCATGGAAGCCGCTGGGACCTGGATCCCAGGAGCGGAGCGCGCGGAGAAAGAAGCGCTGGAGATGGTGGTGGCGCTTGGGACCCGGACTGAGGAGGGGGCGCCGTGACCCAGGCCAGTGCAGGCTGGAGGTCAGCACGGAGACCCGGGATGGACGAGGGAGAGGGGCCGGGGCTCAGACAGGAGATGCAGTCCCCAGCCGAGGGAAGGGATGGCCTGGAGCGCTGGGCAGGGGCGCTCTGGAGATCTGACTCAGAGTTCCCGTGGGAGGCTGGCTCCTGGGGGCAGACCCAGGGTCACTGCTACCCAGCGGCTCCCAGGTTTGTAGCAGCCCCGGGGCCGAGGCTGTCAGGGTCCCTCCCCAGGGACCCCATCTGGGCTGGCCACGGCCTGCCAGGGACCTCGTGCACGAGAACACGTGCCTCCAGAAGTGGCCTGAGCTGTTTTCCGTGTTGGCTGAAAGGATCTGCCCTGGTGTCCCGCAGAACTGGGTTCAAATCCTAGCTGGGCACCCTAGGGTCTTCAGCTCTCCGAGCCTCCACTCCCTCGTACATACGGGGACAATGACACTCCCGCACCCTGCATCCGCACCCATCATGATCTCTAACTTAGTGTGCTCATGCCTGTAAGATGTTTAGCACCGCACCTGGGGCTGAGTAGGTAACCAGTACATGACACAGTGATTGTGAAATCTCACCGCATGGGCCCTAAAAGGGGGTGAGATCCAGAATGCAGAGAGAGCACCCTGCTGTCAGAGCGGGCCCCTTGGCAATGACCCAGTGAGGAGGACAGGACTGGAGTTAGTGAAGGGCAAGAGGGAGGCAGGAGAGAGAAGGAGTGATGTCTCTCCAGCCTCTTTTCTGTGGAGAAGGGAAGGCTGTCCGGTCCACAGGCAGGGAAAGGTCGGAAGCCGCTCGCCACACAGTAAGTGTACGAGCCTGGGCATCGGCAGACCCTCACGTAGAAGATTCAGCTCCGGACAGGAAAACAAGGGGCTGCTGTCCTGACCCTGTGCTCCAAGGACGAGAAGGGAATGAGTCTCACTCCCATTTCACAGATGGGCAAACCGGGGTGTGCAGAGAGGCCGAGGACTTGTGACTAAAGAACACCTGGGTTCTGGTTCCTTGTGCTTTGGCTGTGTGACCTTGGGCAAGTCCCTGCCTGTCTCTGGGCTTTAGTTCCCCCATCTGAAAAAAATGATGTCTCCCCAACTTCCCTTCCATATAGGGCCTTCTAGGATTTCCCCTGACCTGGCTCAGGCACAGGGACAAGTGAGCAAAACCCCCCCAGATAAGCTGATCAGCGCTTTGCCCCGCTCAGCTCTCTGGCTGGGAGGAAGATTGGGCCTTGGGCATCCTCTGAGCAATGCAGAGGGCTGCAGAGCTTGTGGGGGGAGGGCTAGCATTCAAAACAAAGCAAAGACAAAGAAAACCCAACACCCTGTTTGTGTAGTAAGTCAGCCAAACACTTGCTAGGTTGTGTGTGTGGTGTGTGTGTGTGTGTGTGTGTGTATTTAGTTGTCCCGGGGCAAGCTGGGGCTGGTGGGGTGGGGAGGCACATGCTAGTGTTTAGAGGATGCAGCAGATGGGGGACTCAGGGTAGCTCCCCCCAGGCACCCCCACCCCCGCTGCCTCAGCCAGCTGGGAGGAATAGAAATGGGTGCATGTACTTCGCATTCCTCAGCACAGCCCGGCTCCTGCTGGCCCTGCGGAGAGAGTTGTTTTCATTATCACCCTCCTCCTCCCACATCAGGATCCTCCTTCCTCCCTAAGCCCGCCCTGTTTTCCTAGGTTTGGGGGAGCCCTTGGGAGGGCTAGCCCCGGGCCTGGAAGACGGTCTAAGGGGTAAGCGGGCCCTCCTCAGGATTCCTGCTCCGAGGAGGTCCACGCTCCCCTCCTGCCCAAGACTTCCCGGGCTCAGGGGCGGCTTCCTCCTCCCTCACCACAGAGCTCCGTGGCCTCAGCCAGCGCAGCTCAGTGTGTGCGAATTCTGTGTTTACAGCAAGGTCCCTCCTAAAGAGGCTTGACGTTTCCATGTAAGGAAGTGCTGTGTCCAGCTTGGGAAGGGGAGAGGGAGCTCAGAGCTTCCCCGGCATCTCCGAGGGGCTGTGCAGCGCGGAGGTGGGGTGGGATGGACAGAGAGGTAACCACCCAAAACCCAGCCATGCCCCAGAGACCAAATCCCCCATTTCTACCTCATTTCCTCCATCTGCGAAAGGGCTGCTGGCGCCTCACCTGCTCCGTGCGTTCAGGTGTGGGACGGGGGTCTTTGGTCAGCCCCCCCACGGACCAGGGTCTGAGCATGGGGAAGGCCTTGAGCTGAGGGAACTGGGCCAGGGAACAGGAGGGGCTGGGGCCAGCAGGCGGCGGTGTCCCGGCCAGGCTGGTCCCGGGGGCTTAGGTGTTGCTGTGCCTCCGCTCCAGGAGTTTCCGCCTGTGGGTGTAATTGGAAACAGGCTCGGAGCAGGCGGGGACGCGGTGATGGAGGCCTGCACCCAGATGGTGTGGGGCCAGCCCCGCAGGGTCCCTCTGCAGGCAAGGTCTTCCCCGCACCCCTGTTGGCTGCGGGACCCAGGACAAAGCCCTGAGAAGCATCTGTGTGCCCCCCACACCCAGCACTTACATTCAAGATCTTACAGAACCCTCCAGCCGACACTCCGAGGCGTCCGTGGTCCCTCCCTGTCGGACGGGCTTGAACACGGAGGGGTGCACAGGTCCTGGACAGGGAGCCTGAGGAGGCTGGAGACACCTGGGGTTCCAGGATTCTTGGCTGTTAGTGGGCATCCAGGAGCCTGGGGGGCTGAGAGTCTGTCACGGGTGTAGGATGAGCAAATGAATTTCCCAGGGGCACCCCGGTGAGTCTGAGGCACACCCCCTGGCTGAGAACTCGTGGAGGTGACAGGGCGCCATGGAGGTTCGTGAGGAGAGTGACAGGGCACCGAAGAGGAGCTCTTGGAAGAGAATCCAGCAGAGAGGAGGCTGCTGTGTTGCCCAGGGAGCAGAGGCTGAACGCAGGCTGTTGCCAGGGCGTGGAGAGCAAGGGAGAGAGATGGAAACACTGGATGAAGAATCAAAAGAACATGGCGGATGGGTTGTCCAGAGTAAGAAGGAGGCTCAGCTCTGGCCGGCTTTACTCAGTGGTTAGAGTTGACCCCAAGGACTGAAGTGTCACGGGTTCAATTCCCAGTCCAGGGCATATACCTTGGCTGCAGTTTTGATCCCCGGCCCCAGTTGGAGTGTGTGCAGGAGGCAACCAATTGATGTGTCTCTCTCTTCCCCCCCCTCCTCCTTTCTCTCCTTTGTACTCTCTCTCTCTCTCTAAAGACCAATGGAAAAATATCCTCGGGTAAGGATTAAAAAAACAACAACCAAAAAGGAGGCTCAGAGATCTGGGTTGGGCAGGAGGGTTAGACATGGGTTGGGGTCCAGTTTGGGATGGATGGAGTCAGGGATGCCTGCGGGCATCCAGGGGGAGTTGTCCAGTTGGCAGTGAGCTCTACGGGAGGGAGGTCTCTGCTGCAGGAGGACATGGAAGCTGGCCACGAGAGAAGAGGGAAGGCTCGACCTCAAGGTGTCACAATTTGAGCCTCTTCCAGTTCCAGAACATTTCACAGCTTGAACCCCCTCTTCCCAATTCCAGCCAGATTTCTCCATCTCGCTTAAGAAAAACCTTAAGTACGCCTTCTCGCCATCTCTCTGTGGGATTTCCTTGCAAATACCTAGGGACCTTTTTAAACACTGCCCACCCCCACTTCCGGGGGCTTTGGCAGTGTGTGCTGGGCCAGGCTGCAGGCAGAGATGGGGGGCTGAAGCAGGGGCTTTCCTGCTTGGCAGCACCTCCTGCCCTCATGCTGAGGGCCGGTGGGCCAGGCCTGGCGGGAGCCCAGGTCCCATGCTCCCCCAGAGCCCCCTTCTGTGTCCCCGGTGCCAGAGAAGCCCTTTCCGGAGGACTACGGGTGGTCATGGGAGGAACAGCATGTCAAACGGACCTTGGAGTCAAGCTGTGCTGTGTGACCCTTGGCAAGCCCTTAGTCTTCTCTGATGCTCAGATGGCTCCTCTCTGAGATGGGGTGTGGTGAGAGCCAAGAGAGGTAGAAAGTGGGAGGGAGGGTTGCTGGCAGCAGCTCCACTAGCAAGTGCCACTCGGGAGCAGCCACTCTGTGCCAGGCTGGGTGCCAGGCTGGGTGCCAGGCGCCCTGCCTGCATTGACTCACTGCAGCCTCCGGACACGTTTACGAGGAAAGGGCTGTTGCCTCCCCGCAGCAGAGGCGAAAGCTGCGTCTCAGAAGGTCAAGGTCCCGCGGGGAGGAGACGAGGGAGCTGGGGCCGGAGTCCCGGCTTGGCGCCTCATCACGGAGCTCTGCCTCGTCCAAACACGCACCACAGGATGTAGCGATCCCAGGAGGTCAGGCCGGGCCCGGGCTCCCTCTTCCGACTCCTGCAGGGCCCTGGGCCTCGCCTGCCCCCGTCAGGACATAGCACCTCATCTGCAGAGGGAAGGAATGTTGCAGTTTGATGTGGAGGCTGCTGCTGGGGCGGGTGGGGTGGGCGTGGGGGTAATGGCGGTTCCCAAGGAGGAGGCCTCTCTGGCCGGACCACACAGACCGCACCCATGTCCACCCGCTGGGCTCTGGCCACACCTGGGGGAGTGGGTGGAAGTGGGGGGTGGGGTGGGAAGGGGTCCAGGAAAGAGAAGGCTCTAGCGGGGATCTGAGGAATGCATGTCCAGGCCCCCAAGCCTGGCTGCAGTGCCCACTGTACACCTTGCCTACTGGGGCCCAGGACAAAGCTTCCACCTACAGCTGCCCCCTTTCCCACCGTCCTCACTCCCAAGGGCCTGGAAGTCACCCATTCTGGGTTCTGATCCCCTTGAACAAATCACCTGATGGCTCTGGGGTTCAGCTTCCTCCTCTGTAGGACGCGGCTGAGAATATCTTCCCACGTCCCCACATGGAGAAACCACCGGCTAACCAGCCCCCACGCAGATGACTGGTGTAGGCATCTCTGTGCGCGGGGCTCACTGTGCCAGCTTCTCCTCCGTCTATTTCTTCTGCACCTCCAGCCATCACCGGGGCCTGGTGGAGGCCAGGGGCTCAGAGACACTCCTGGGTGCCGGGCTTGGCAGAATTCCGTTGGGCTTGGTGGCTTCAGTGAGAGCTGAGTAGCCAGAGACTCGGGGTGTTTGTTAACGGAGCCAGGGGCAGCTGCGACCCAGGAGCCCGGAGCTCAGAGGGGGCAGGCTGAGACAGCTGAGGGAGTGGCTGATTGGGGATCTCAGAGCCCGGCCGGTATATCAGGACAAGCTAGGCTGGAGGCGGTGACTGAGCGTGGCTCCTGCCTCTGATCTCACTGAGCCGACCCCACAGCCACAGAGCCCTGCTGAGCCCAGTGGCCAGTGATCACAGCCAGACACTCGGCCGGGCAGCCTCCCAGGGGAACCACAAAACGGAGGTCATGGTATCTCATTGGATCTTCACTGCCAGGAGGCTGGGTATGGAGTCACCCACTTTCCCACGGAGGGAAGGAGGCTCAGAGAGGTTGTGTAACCTGTTCAAGGTCTCACAGGGTGTGGGGGAACAGACCTACAGAAGCAGCAGAGCCCAGTGATTTCGATCCGAAGTCAGGTCTGCAGCTAGATCTTTCCAGTCAAAGCGGTGGGACCTCGGACATGCGAATTCACCTTCTGAGCCTCTGTTTCTTTAGCTGTATTAATAACGACCCACGCTTAAGACACGCTCAGTGTGTGCGAGGCTCTGTTCTTTACCACGTGAGCTCATTTAATCTTCACAACAACCCCACAAGGCAGGGGCCCGTCCACAAATGAGGAAACTGAGGCACAGGAAGGCTGAGTCGCCCATAAGCTCACAGGTACTAACGCAGGCTCCAGACACCAGGCTCTTAGCTCTGCTCTGGTGTGTCTGAAAAACACAGGCCTGCTGCTCCAGCAGATATTTACAGAGCTCCTCCTCCAGGCCAGGCAGGCACTGCTCTGAGGATATACAAGGGAACTAGACAACGTCCCTGCCTCTAATGGTGCCTTCAGCAGAGGTGGGGAGACCAACACACGCACACACACACACTCACAGATATAATATTTCAGATGGTAACGGGTACAATAAGGAAAAAGACACTAGTAAAGGGACAGGGAGTAACGGGAGGTGGGTGGTCAGGGAAGGCTTCTTGGAGGAGGTGAGGTGTGATTGGAGGGAGTGAGCCCAGGAAATAGCAGGGAGATAAGGTTTCGGGATGAGGGCACCATGTCTGCAGAGGTCCTGAGGCTGGCGTGGGTGAAGGAAAGGGTGGCGAGAGGAGGGGTTGAGGGACGAGGGTCAGCTCACGTAGGCCTTGGAGGCCAGAGTAAGGACTTTGGCGATAACAACACCCTTCGTACACAGGCATTGTTCACGGGTGCATGCACATGAAAACTGGGACGTGGTAAGCGCCCAATCAAAGGTCTCCACGGTTTTTGGTGTTGCGGTAACACAGAACTTGCCATTTTAACCATTTTAAAGTATACAATTCCATGGCGTTTAGTGCATTCACGGCGCAGTGCAAGCACCACCATTCCTTCGTCTCAGAACATTTTCTCTGAAAGGAAGCACAGGACCATTAAGCAATCACTCCCCACTTTCCCTCCCGTTAAGTCCCAGCAATCACTACTCTGCTTTCTGCCTCTGGATTGGCCTGTTCTGGGTATTAACATAAACGGAATCAGCCGAAGCCGGTTTGGCTCAGTGGATAGAGCGCAGGCCTATGGACTGAAGGGTCCCGGGTTCGATTCCGGTCAAGGGCATGTACCTTGGTTGCAGGCACATCCCCAGTAGGGGGTGTGCAGGAGGCAGCTGATCGATGATTCTCTCTCATCAATGTTTCTATCCCTCTCTCTTCCTCTCTGTAAAAAATCAATAAAATATATTTTTTAAAACATATAAACGGAATCATACAATACGTCGGCTTTTGTGTCTGGCTTCTTTCCTTGAGCATACATGTGTTCGCATGTATCGCCACTTAATCCTGTTCATGGCTAAATAAGATTCCCCGGTGTGGGTGTACCCCATTTTATTTATCCATCAGCAGTGGGCGGGCATTCGCACTGTCCCCACCTTGTGGCTGCTATGAACGTGCCTGCCCAAGACTTGGAATGCCTGCCTTCAGTTCTTTGGGGTATATATACCTAGAAGTCGAATTACGGGGTCATATGGTAGTTCTACATTTTACTTATGGAGGAACGGTCCAATCGTTTTCCATAGCGGCTGTTAATATTTTAATTAGCGTTATTATAACCCCTCCATTTCCTTGGAGTGGATGCTAGCTTCTCAGCCATCTCTAACCGCCTTCACAAAGGTGGGGGAGGGGAGTGGATTCTGCTCCCCCTCTCTCCCCTCCCCTCCCCTCCCCTCCCCTCTTCTCTCCTCTCCCCGCCTCCCCCAGCCCGGCCTCTGGCTCACGGAGCCCCTTTGCAGGTGTTCGGGGAGGTGGACCAGGTGCGGATGACCTCGGAGGGCTCGGACTGCCGCTGCAAGTGCATCATGCGGCCGCTGAGCAAGGACGCGTGCAGCCGGGTGCGCAGCGGGCGGGCGCGCGTGGAGGACTTCTACACGGTGGAGACCGTGAGCTCCGGGTCCGACTGCCGCTGCTCCTGCACCGCGCCGCCCTCCTCCCTCAACCCCTGCGAGAACGAGTGGAAGATGGACAAGCTCAAGAAGCAGGCGCCCGAGCTCCTCAAGGTAGGCTTTCGGGGGTGAGCGTGGGGGCGTTGGGGTGGGAACGCCTCCTGGAGGGGTACCCAGCATGGGCTGGCCCAGGCAGTGCGGCCAGGGAAACATCCACATGCACCCAGGCAGGTGCTGTACCATCCCATTTCACAGGCGGGAAACAGAGGCTCCCTGCCCAGGATCATGGGGTCAGGAGGAATGGAGGCAGCATTCTCTGGCTCGTTTGCCTGAATATATTGCCCCTGACCATCCGGTCCGAGGTTATGTATTTTACCCAAACCAGTTCATCTGTCAGCACCTCTCCATGGCATTTACATTTTTTTTTTTTTTACCTTTTATTGTTTTAAATTAGTAATAATATTTCCCATGTTCAAGTACCACCTGCATGCCAGATGTTGTGCTAAGCTCTTTGTACAGATTATTCCTCTACATGTTTAAGCCGTTCTATGACATACAGGGTCTTTGTCCTCAAGAAAAGAAAGCGGAGCTGTGGAGAGGTTGATCACTGGCCCACACTCTCACCTAATGACATGCAGCCTCAGTCTGTAGCATCCTTTTTTTAAAAAATATATATTTTATTGATTTTTTACAGAGAGGAAGAGAGAGGGATAGAGAGTTAGAAACATCGATGAGAGAGAAACATCGACCAGTTGCCTCCTGCACACCCCCTACTGGGGATGTGCCCACAACCAAGGTACATGCCCTTGACCAGAATCAAACCTGGGACCTCTCAGTCCGCAGGCCGATGCTCTATCCACTGAGCCAAACCGGTTTCGGCAAATTGGTGCTTTTAAGAGTATCTTTTTATCTTACAATTTCTTCCAAACATGTGGGCGTCCTGCATTGTGAAGCTGACTGAGCTGTTTGTTACCCTCCTTATCAGCTAACAGTTCTCACGGATGCTGGCAGGAGACACGAGCCTCCTGGGTCAGAAACAAAGGGCTTTATTGCTCAGAGCAGCCAGAGTTTCTACATCTTCTCGCCCTGGTTCTCCCCCTCCAATTCCCGCAGGGCGGAATGAGAGTGAGGGCCAGATGGCACCTGTGCAGAGTGGGGTGTTTTCCAAAAGAGGTGTCCCAACTTGGAGATTCCCCGCCCCTGTGTTCCAAGGCTGTTCCCTGTATGACCAGATGGCCCGGTACAAGGACTGCCAATGCCTCCGCACACAACACAGGCAGAAAAGCAAGAATTGTCTCCCGACATTCGGCTAAAGATGTTTTCCTTACCTTTACCTTTAGTTTATTATTGTAACAACTGAATGGATACCAAAACTCTCAAAGTTGGGGTGGGGGTGGGAGGATTGTTGACTTTGAAGCTAAATGGCCCCTGGGGCCTCACCGGCAGGGGAGAAGTGGGGGGATGAAAGGGGGGGGACTGCAGACTCCAGGCCCAGGAGCCATAGGCCAGTCGTCAGCTCCGGGACAAATGCAGCTTCCGCTCCAGTCCACTTTCCGATAACTAACTAGCTTCCAAACCACTGGACATGAGGCTACTCCAAACCTTCCATAAAAGCTGGCGAACGCAGTCCTCACCACGCCTCTTGGAGAGGGAACGTGCGGTCCCAGCTTCACTGTGGAGGAATCTGAGGCCCAGAGAGAGACTGTGACTCGCCTACGATCTCACAGCAAGAAGTGGGCAGCACTAGGATGGGAGCTCAGGAATTCTCTGCTGTGCCCCCTTGCCCATGGGAGGGCGCCCTGGCACACAGGAGCCCACGGGGGGGGGGGGGGGGTGTTCATTTAGCCTTAAAGGCCTGGAGCAGGGTGACAGCAGGTGGGGCTGTAGGAAGCAGAGAAGATATTCTGCCTCATTAATACCCTGGGGCCCCAAGAGGAGAAGGGGGCAGGGAAAGTATGGCGCGAAGCTGAGGCCGCTCCCTTTGGCTTGGCTCTCCCTCCCTCAGCAGGAGGCTCTGTGGGCAGCCCCGAGGAGAAGTTAGAGGAAACCCGTGGGCAGGGTAGAGGGCACCCCTGCCTTATACCCACCCCTCATCCCTACCAATCCCTCCTCAAGCTAAGGAATCCAGCTCTGGTTTGGCCTCGGTTACTTGGTCCTGAACAGGAGGGAGGGGGTTCCAAGTCTCCTTTTTTTGGGAAGGTTGGCTGCAGGGTCCTATCTCTCACCTCTTCATTCCCGGCCCTTGAACGCAGAGCAGATCTAGCCCCACCTTGAGGAATCCCCGGTCTTGTGGGGACATAACTCCTGACCCCATAATGGCAGCGATTGGTGCTGGGTCGGGGGATGCCCCAGGGACCATGGGAACCAAGAGGAGGAGGTAGCATTAGACCTGGGCTTTGCGGGTTGTGTAGGAGTGTCTCAGACAGAGCGGAAATCCCGGCATTCTGGGTGCGAGCATTTTGTGTGGCCCGGGATGCCTCCCTGCCCTCTCTCTGCTTCAGCCCCACAAGCCGCCTGTGTCTCTAACACAGAGCTCCTCAAGCTATCTATGGTGAAAGGCCAGTTGTTTAAAAAAAACAAACTGTCAAGAACCAATTCTTTTGTAAAATACTCTACAAATTAATTCTTAGAAAAGTGAAACAAAAATACACATGCACAGTACAAGTCCAATGTTTGATCATGGAGAGTCACCGTATAAAATTGCTCTGCAAAAGTCCTATAAACGCCTCTCTCGCTTTTACAACCTTTGTATCTCAGAGCGGTAAGGAGCAGGTCGGCCGGGTGCTGGAATAGCTCGGCCGGAGCACACCGTGTTTCCCCACCGCCAGCTCCTTGCATGAGCTGTTCCCTTCGCCTAGAATGCCTTCCTCCCGCCGTTTTTACTTTCTCAGCGCTCAGCTCAAGCAAAACCTCTTCCCCGGCACACTTGACTGATTCGTACCCGCTCCCGAACAAGGTCACACCTCCCCATGAATGTGCTGGGCACCCGTGTGTCACCGTCTGCATTCCCAGACCTGGGCACCCCTCGGTTACTCTCCGCATTCCTTGCCGGCCTCTGGAGGACCATGTGTCTGTCTTGCTCATCACTGTCCTTCGTGCCTGGCCCAGCATAAACGTTTGCTGAGGCTGAAGAAGGTAGCAGGGGCAGATCAAGGAGGGTGCAGATGCCAGGCTCAGGAGATGACAAATCACCCGTGGGCAGTGGGGAGCCACAGGAAGTTATCCACAGGGGAGAGCCTCGTGGTCATAGCTGAGCTTTAGGAAGCCAGTTGTGTTTTTTTTTAATATATATATTTTTATTGATTTCAGAGAGAAAGGGAGAGAGATGGAAACATCAATGATGAGAGAGAATCATTGATTGGCTGCCTCTTGCACGCCCCCTACTTGCCCTCGGCCGGAATCAAACCAGGGACCCTTCAGTTTGCAGGCCAACGTTCTACCCACTGAGCCAAACTGGCCAGGCTAGGAAACAGGTTTTGGTGTCAGCAGAGTGAAGCTGGAAGGGGCCCAAGCAGCCCCTGGCCAGTAGTCATTATTGCTGATATCCATGAGGCCCTTGCTCTGTGCTGAGCTCTGTCCAGGTCACTGCTCCTCACAATCCTATCGGCCCATTTCAGAGAAGGAAGCCGAGGCACAGAAGGATCTAGGCGCATGGTTCTCACACTATGCTCCACGAAGCCCCCAGGGTACCGGGCAACCTCCTGGCCTGAGCAAGGTTGCAGGGGAGCAGCGAGGACTCAAAGCCCTCCAGCTGCTCCCATCAGAGCCCCACCCTCTTTCTTCTGTTTTAGAGAGCCAAGTCTTCTCAGAGAAAAGCTCTCTGCCTCAAAGAGCCTGAATACCCCTGGGGGAATGGGAATAAGACTGTTTTGGAAACAGTGGGCCAGGGCCAGACGGGAGCGCAGGGCCGCAGGGCCGGCCTGCTGGGGCCTGAGAAAGGCTGCAGGGCTGGGGGTGGGGCCGTGCTGGAGGGTGGAGAAGTCAGGGGAGCTGATTTCCCAGCCAACCCCTGGTGCCAATGTGTCCCTGACACTGGCTGTCATCCTAGCCATCCAGAGGGAAATGTCATTTCCTGATGAGGTGTGAGAGCAAGGGGAAGGGGAGGGACAGCTATGGCGAAGAGCCCTGGACTGGGCAGGGGAGACCCAGCATCGGCCACTAACCTGTTGTGCGGGCCCCACCCCGTTCCTTCTTATCCGCAGTTTGAGCACAAAACAGGAGCAGTAAAGCATGAGAGGAAAGAGGCGTGGGTAGTTCCAAGTGGGTTGTGCTCCAGGCCCTCCCATAAGGCACCTGGGTAGCCTGGGGCAGTCACTTCCCCTCTCTAAGCTGCAGCTTCCCAATTTCCAGGATGAAGACCAAAGGTGTCCAAACCCTGTCTCTGGGTGGGTCCCTAGAACAGACCCTGGGCGAGTGGTCTGTGTGCGGGTGGCTTATAATGGAAGTGCTCCCAGGAGAAGCTGGTGCCAAAGTGGGAGACATGGGGGCAGGTGGTCCCAGGCCAGGTGCCCGCCTCAGCCCCAGGGGACACTGGAGGATGAACGATGGCTCAGTTGTCCCACTGGGGGTAGGCAGCTGGCCCCTGGGTGCCCACACCAGTCAGGCATGGCCAGGAGGACATAGGCTTGCGGACACTCTGGGGGCAAAGTGGCTCTTTGAAGAGAGTCACAGAGGCAGGCCGGTCCAGGGGAACCCCTGGAAGCCTGGCATGGGCCCAGGAAACTGTAGGAGGGACTCCAGGGGGTAATGGTTAGGGCTGCCACGACATACTCTGGGGGTGCTGGGAGGATTGTGTGAAATAGCCCATAAAGCCCCTCACTCCGTGCCTGCCACGTGGTGAGCGCTCAGAAGACGGACTCTGCTGCTTTTCTCGTGATTATTAGCGGGCGGACTCTGGTGGGTGCCGAGGGCCACGCAGGCCATTCTGAGACCCTGGACTCTGCGCCGAGGTGGGACTCCGTGCACCCTTCATGCCGGGTCCTGTGCTCTGCCCTCCCCTAACCTCCACCCCCTTCCCCGGCAGCTGCAGTCCATGGTGGACCTCCTGGAGGGCGCCCTGTACAGCATGGACCTGATGAGAGTGCACGCCTACGTCCACAAGGTGGCCTCCCAGATGGACACGCTGGAAGAGGTAAGAGTGGGCTGGCACCGTGCTGGGGGCCTGGGCAGTGTCTGTCTTGACCCCGGTGGCTGCTGAAAGCCGGACTCCAGCAGAGATGGGAGGGGGAGACGCAGACCATCGGGGCCCGACGGTGGGGAAGAGGTCTGAGGGGCTCTGCAGGAAGCCGGAAGGCTGGGTGGGGAAACCGAGGCACCTGCTGCCGGAAGGAAAGGGGTGGGGAGGGGGCTGGAACTTGCACTTGCCCTCAGTTCACCAAGACCAGGACCCACACATTGCAAACTTCGGGGCCACCCTTCTCATAAATGCCACGAGAGTGGTGCTCCCCTGAGATGGTGCATCACGAAGATGCCCCGTGACTGGCTGAACCCCTGGGGGCCAGGCTCAAGGCACCTGCCATGACCACGGAGACAGGGTCTTCTCCTGATCAGAGCAACTGGGCTGGGGGACTGGCAGGCGGCTAGGACTGCCCCCCGAGGACAGGGACAGAGCTGGCGAGCAGGCATTCCAGGCTGCAGGCTCCAGGTTTGCATCTCTGCTGGCATGGCCTGGCCTCCGCCTGTTTCCTGCATCCGGCCTCTGCTGGGAGCCTGGGACAGGCAGCTGCCAGGAGCGGGCGTAGGGGCTTCCTTTCCCAGCTTCCTTTCCAGAGGGAGCGGCACTTGGCCATCCTGTGCCCAGGGTGGGAGATTAACCCCTTGCCAACCCCAAAGTTGAGGCCACAGTGGCTTTAATTGCTCAACGAGTGTTTGGTGAGTATCTGCTGTGTGCCAGGCCTCTGCCAACACGGGAGAAAGGCAATCCCGACAGAATTTCCACCGGCACCCATGTTTCCTGTGCGCCTGGCACATGCCAGGCTCTCCTCTTGCCGACTCAGCAGTTATCCTTTGATTCTTCTGCTTGTAATCTAAGGAAATGTTAACTCACTTCGCACAACTGCGAGCCAGACAATCTGGAGGGGAAGGCTGCTGGGCCTGGAACAAATCAGAAATGATTTCCACAGCCACCGGGAAGTGGTGCTTAATTCGCTCCTGTTTTGCATTATCTGTGCTTTGCTTCTGTTCACTAAGTGATAGGAAAAGTTTATTGCCAGCCCGGGAGGGCTGGGGGGCACAGCCTCCCTCGGAGGAGCTGGCTCCCTCTCCCTCTTCACTTTCAGCAGAAGTTCTCAACCAGGGCCCTTTGGTCCCCAAGGGGGCAGTTGGCAGTGTGTGGAGACATTTTTGGTTGTCACAGTTAGGGGGAGTGGGTGACAAATGCTATTTATTGGCTTCTAGTTGGGTAGGTGCCAGGGAGGGGGCTAAGCACCCTATAATGCACAGTAATGCATAGGACACCCCCCCAACACACACACACACACACACACACACACACAATTCACAGCTGCCTGACAAATGTCAGCAGTTGCTGAGGCTGAGAAACTCACCTTGTACAGGTTGACTTCTGCCTTCTAGGCCAGTGGTCGGCAAACTGCGGCTCTCGAGCCACATGCAGCTCTTTTGTCCCTTGAGTGTTTAGCAAAGGCCAGCTTAGGAGTAACCTAATTAAGTTTATAACAATGTACCTACCTATATAGTTTAAGTTTAAAAAATTTGGCTCTCAAAAGAAATTTCAATCGTTGTACTGTTGTTATTTGGCTCCGTGGACTAATGAGTTTGCCGACCACTGTTCTAGGCGATCTAGTTTAGAATGCACTTTCTTGTTCCTAGTGACTCTGTGCGTCACCCTGATATTTAGTGGCTATGACCAAGATCCTTATCTAACAGGCAAGGACACGGAGGCTCAGATAGGTAAAGTCACCAGCTCAAGGCTACTCAGCCAGGAAGGGGAGAGCAAGGATTTGAACCCAGCTCTGTCCGACTCCTGCCTGCTGCCTCTTGGTCCCAGGCTATCTCCTCCTCCGTAAAAATGTCCGTCAGTGACATTCTGCCTCTCCAGGGCTGCACAGCAAAGGTGCTTCCTGCATCTGACTCTCATTTCTCCTGCTTCAGCTGAGCAGTAGACTTGACAGGAATTCCATACATATCCACACCTGCTGGGGCCCTAGGGGCCTGGGGCTGGTACCAGGCCGCCCAGCTTCCCTGAGTCCTGCCCAATGGACAAGGTCAGCCTGGGCCACAGCCTGGCCCACAGCATGGCGATGGGGATCCCTGGGTTGGGGGATCCACAGAGAGAACGCGGCGATTCTGAGCAGCCCTGTTTCCAGCAGGATTCAGAACCAAGGACCATGAGGGGGTGGGTGGGGGCTGCTAAAACCAGGTGGGGTCCCCAGCAAGTGGGGGACAGGTGAGCAGGAGCAGAAACCTGGGAGTAAACGGGCGCTCAGTGCAGTGGGAGGAGCCAGCGCCATCCTGGAGAGAAGTCGGAGCCTGGGGAACCAGGGGGGATCAGAGTCTCACCTCACCCATCGCTAAACCCCAAAGTGTTTCATTATTTGAGCATTTTAGGAAAAGAAGGTATTTATGTATCTCTTGTGACATTAAGAGGTAATTTTAAAGTAGCAACTTAAATGACGAATTTCTACAGTGGCAGACTGTGCATTCAGTTAAGGAATGGCCAGCACTACATACACAAACATGGAGAGTTCTCAAGATCGGCTCAAGTGAAAAAGCGAAGCGTTAGGGGAGGAAAAGGCAAAATCTATAATAATTGGCTGAGAAACAAAAGTGGGAGGAGGACATAGTTTACAACAGCTTGTATCTTCTTAATTTAGCCCTGGGAGCATACTTCATCTAGTTTTTCATTCATTCCCTTTTTAAATAAAGAACAGGGTCTTTTTGGCAGCATGCTTTATTCCAGCCCTGCTCGCCAGGGCTGCCCCTGCCCATGAGCCTGGGCAGACAAGCCCGAGGGCAGGAGGAGGGGTGGGGGCAGGCCAGCAGGGGAGACTGGAAAGACCTCGGGTCCGCCCCCCACAGAGCATCAAGGCCAACCTGAGCCGGGAGAACGAGGTGATGAGGGAGAGCATGCGCCACTTCGGCGAGCAGCTGAAGCACTACGAGAACCAGTCGGCCATCATGCTGAGCATCAAGAAGGAGCTCTCCAGCCTGGGCCACCAGCTGCTGCAGAAGGACGTGCCCACAGCCCCCGCCGCTGCCCCTGGCCCCGCCCCCGGGCCTGGCAGCAAGGCACAGGTGAGGCCAGGGCTTGGGAGCACAGGGCACCAGGGCCTCCGCCCTGAGGCATCTGGGTGGGTCCGGGTGTAGGACAGGGCTGAGGGCTGGCGCGTCCATGGCAGGGTGGGGTATAGATAGCAGGGTAGGGTGCAGAGGGTGCCTGCTATGCAGCGAGCACAACCGGCCAGGTGAGCTGGGAGCAGACGCAACGATCTAGCTGAGGGGGGTCTGCTCCCTGAGCCATGCACTTGGCAGAATTCTCATTCCCGTTTCCAAACTTGTGGGGACAGGGTCCTCGAGATGACCCTCCCGCCTGGCCCTGGGAGAGCAGGTCTGTTGCAGCAAACCACTTCTAGCCGCTCCTGCTGCGGCCGGGCCGCTGTCTGGGTCAGGTTTGCTCAGGGGTAGATGGGCAATGCCTCGGGGATCCCTGCACAGTAACGCCACGTCATCCAGCCCACCCTGGGGGAAAGGACACCCGCAGGCATCCCGTGTCCAAGCTCGGAGCACAGAGGGAGCAGAGGTCTGTCCCAGGCACAGCCGCCCTGGACGTAGAACACACCGTTGTGCCCGTTTGGCAAAGGCCCTCCCGCAGGCAAACACACTGAGGGGAAGGGAGTCCCGCTGGGCAGAAGAATGAGAAGGAGTCGCCCCCTTGAGTGGACAGACTGTACAAAGGCTCCTTCCGTTGACTGACACACCAGGTGTGTGGCTTGGCTAAAGGAGTGAGACCAGATTTCAGCCCCATTAGTGCCCCTTCGCCGGTCACGGTCACCGGCATGCAGGACACAGCTCGCACCACTCACGGTGGCCCTGTTTTTGGGGTCGGTACTGGGACCAGAGCGGGTCTCTCCGTCGCCTCCTGCACTGACATTGTGATGATGGGGCCGTTGGCATCTGAACCAGAACCGCCTTGGACTGGAGCCTTGGCCCAGAGCTGGCTTTCTGCTTGCTCTCCTGCCAGCTCCACAGGCGCGAATGGACCATGCAGAGGGCCAGAGTCTGTCCTTGCCCTGCCTAACAGACGTCACAGGCCCTGTGTTCTTGTGCCAAGCCAGCACCAAGGCCACTTAAAAGAAAAGGAAAAGGACAAAATTTACAAAACGTTAGGAGCTGCATGCCCTCGGGGCAATGCCTGGGTGGCCAGCCGTGCCAGCTGTGCCAGTCTGCCCAGGACTGAAGGGCTCCCAGGATGGGGACTTTCAGTGCTGAGACTCGGAACATTCGAGGCACACTGGGAGGAGTTGGTCACCTTGCCTAGAGGCCTGAGAACTTCTCCTCTGCCCATAAACAAAGACCAATGAGTGAGAGACAGAAATGAGAGGTTATTACAGTCCACCCCTTCGGGAGAGTGTATAGGACTTAGGAAATGGGACAGGAATCTAACCCACCAGGCTGTCCTTCAAGCCTGCAGGGGGGCTAGAGAGCTGAGCGGGGAACAGGTACACCCCGGGCGTGGAGGTGGCCACCGTGGGAGGAAAGCTATGGCTCTGAGCACCTGGGATGTATGGCCTAGACCAGGGGTCGGCAAACTCATTAGTTCACAACAGCACAACGATTGAAATTTCTTTTGAGCGCCAAATTTTTAAACTTAAACTTCTTCTAACGCCACTTCTTCAAAATAGACTTGCCCAGGCTGTGGTATTTTGTGGAAGAAGCACACTCAAGGAGCCAAAGAGCCGCATGTGGCTCACGAGCTGCCATTTGCCGACCACTGGCTTAGAGCAACATGACCACTTCCAGCCCCCACATGCTGAGCCTCCATGACACCCCCACAATACCCCTTCCACCAGCCCCAAGTCTGAGGTTTCCCTTCTCTCCTAGGACACGGCTGGAGGGAAAGGCAGAGACAGCAGCAAATACGGCAGCACACAGAAGAGCTTTGCAGACAGGGCCCTCCCAAAACCTCCTAAGGAGAAGCTGCTGAAGGTGGAGAAGCTGAGAAAGGACGGTGGCCAGGGCCGGTTCCCCCAGCCCACAGGCAGGCCCCGGGCCCTGGCCCAGCAGCAGGCGGTGATCCGAGGCATCACCTACTACAAGGCGGGCAGCAGGGAGGCGGCCGAGGCTGGTGAGTTGGGGGGAGGGAGGATTGAAACCTTTGGGAGGGACGCCTGCGGATGGCTGGCCACAGCCCAAGGATGCCCCACAGGGGTCCAGGGTCTTCTCTGCAGTCCCAGACTTCAACTGCACTGGTTACCCGTTGGTGCCCAAGCACACAATGGGATAACATCCCCTCGTGGGGTTGTGGGGATGAGATGCTAGAATCAACACAATGGGCCACTCAGTTCCTTCCCAGATTCACAGCCATCTCCACCGTCCCTGGACGTCTCCTCCTTCATTCCAAGATTTGCTGAAGGTCCACCGTGCACTTGCTGAATTGCCCAGAGATTCTGCCTGATATGGAGCTCACAGTCTAGTGGGAAAAACTGACTCCAGGAGCAGGCAGCTGCCACGGGTGGGGCGAGAGAACGCAGGGGCTGCAGCAAGGCCCGGGTTCTAAAAAGTGACCTGGGCCCTTTGGGACCCTTCCTGTTTCCAGACTGGCCTTGGCTGGATGGCCTCTCCAGCACCTCCCCCTTCTTATCTCCCCAAAGAAGAGCTCACAGACACCTCAGTTTTCCCTGCGGCCCCTGATGGATCACAGTGAAGGACAACAAAGTAATTACTTAAGAGACAAACGTTCCAAGTGTAGTCAAATTTCTGGGCCACCACCCTTCATGTGGCTCCTGACTCTCCCTTCAAGGCCCTCTGCAGGCGCCTGCTCTTCTCTGATGTCCCTGAGAATGTCCCCAGCTGCTCCCCTTGCCTGGGTCCTGCTGACCGCCTCCTCCATGCGGCCCTCTGCCCAGCCCATGTCCACGGGAGCTGGGAGGTGGAACTGTGAGGAGCCTGTCTCCTTCAAGAGCCCCCTCGATTCTTGGTTTCTCAGGGCTCAGGCGAGACCCCACCCCCCGCCCCCAGCCACAGGTGCCAGCTGCTGGCCCTGAGTCCTGCCAGCTCAGCCCGGGCGGCACGGGGCCTCTGACCCCTGGTCGGGACACTGCCCAAGAACAGCTGCAGGCATCTGACTCTGCCAGCAAGGCCTGTGGGAACAAGCCCCTGCCCTGGCAGGCGGCCCAAGCCAGGCCCCCGGGAGGCCCCCCAGCCAGAGGGTGAGCCCCCATTCCTGAGACACGTCAGGGGCTGCCCTGCAGTGAGTTGTGGCTACACCACTGCGCAAAGAGGAAGCCGGGACAGGAAGGAATCAGGTCCTGGAGTCACGGGCCTCAGTGCACCCCCCTCCATCACAGCAGCACCACCATTCCTCTGTCCCGGCACCCCAGCTTTCTGTACTTTCACCCCGTATCATCCCAACCCACGTGCCCCAAGCTCAGAGAGGCCAAGTGGCTGGCTCCACGTCTCACAGTGAGTGGTTGGGACTGGAACCCAGGTCAGCAGGCTGCAGAGCCTGCCGAGGACCCCTTCACAGCTCTGTCCCCAGAACTGAGGGGCCCTGTCCCTTTCTGTGTGTCACTGAGACTGCTCTCCAGACCTCGTCCAACCCAGCCCGGAGAAGTGTGTGGGTCAGGGGTGACCCGGAAGGCTCCAAACCACAGTTCAGCCCACAGATGCTGAAAAAGGCCTCCTGTGAGCAAAGCCCGTGCCAGCAGGGGGAAGGGGTTGCCAAGAAAGCTGAGAGATGGGAAATGAGTGAGGGGACAGAGGAAGACGGGGACTGGGTCTGTAAGAGAAGCCAGAGGGTGGGTTCCGGGGGACAGGGCCGGGAGAATGTCCGGAGAGGGCTTTCTGCCTCCTGGCACGGAATCCAGGAAATGAAGTAATTGGCACAGTGGGTTTGACACTTGGGAGGAAGGCGGTCTTGTATTTGGCAGAATCTGTGCAGACGGACACCGTTTCCCATAATCGGCACAGCAGCCTACCACGGTGAGCCCTTCACTTCACAGAGGGGGAAGCCGAGGCCCCTTGGCAGGGGGCTCCGAGCTGGTCTGCTGCCCACAAAGCCCGCTCTCCGAGGCCTCTCCCTCCCCAGGCTGCCCCTGGCCCCTGCTCGGCCCAGCGCGGGGCGCCCGCCGGCCTGGGGAGGAGCCTGGGCAGCAGGTGCTGCCTGGATGTGAGCTCAGCTCTTCTCTCCGCAGACAACGCCCTCAGGGGCACCGCCTGGCTGGAGCAGCTGTCGCCCAGGGAGGAGGGCAGGCCCCCCGAGCCCAACTCTGCTGAACACGAGGAGGCTGGGCCCAGGGCTTCGGAGGGAGCGGACGTGGCCCCTGGCACCCCCTCCTTGAAGCCAGCCGTCACCCCAACCCCCGCTCCCACCACCAGTCCCCTGCCCACTGAGCCACCACCGTCACACCCAGAAGTCCCCAGGCAAGGTGAGTAAGCCTCCCGGGGTCACAGCCTACGCCCAAGGGCCAGACCCAGCCTGCAGCCTGTTTTCTCCAGCTGTTCCTACATCGTTAAGGGTTATTGAAAAAGGAGAAGATTGGGCAAAAGTATGTGGTCTGGTGAACCTGAAATGTTTACCATCTGATCCTTACAGAAAAAGCTGTAACAACATTTACAACGCAACAGGTATTTTCAACAAGTTTAAAACACAAACACACACACACACACACACACACACACACATATATATATATATATATATATATATATATGTGTGTGTGTGTGTGTGTGTGTGTCAAAACCAGTTTGGCTCAATGGATAGAGCATTGGCCTGTGGACTGAAAGGTCCCAGGTTCGATTCCAGTCACCAGCATGTACCTTGGTCGCAGGCACATCCCCAGTAGGGGGTATGCAGGAGGCAGCTGATTGATGTTTCTTTCTCATCGACGTTTCTAACTCCCTACCCCTCTCCCTTCCTCTCTGTAAAAAACCAATAGAATATAATTTTTAAAAATAAAATAAATAAATAAAGATAGATACCATGTTTCCCTGAAAATAAGACCTACTTACAGATTTCCTTCTGAGTGAAATATAAGGCATCCCCCCAAAAATAAGGCCCCCCCCAGGCTAAACATGAGAGATTTGGTCCACTGATTCTGAAAGAAATGGAGTCACAAGAAATTCACCAGGAAATTCAGGAATTGGGTTGTTATGATGATGTTCCAGAAGATGATGACATGATTGTCATTGAATAAATGAGTAAATTCTTGATACTGTAGGATTTACAGTTTGTCTGGTTTGTGTTGACAACTACCGTACTACCGTACCGTATACAGGTAATAAATTTCCTTTATTTTCATTTAACAATAAATGTGTACCATATTCTTCTTCATGGAAAAATAAGACATCCCCTGAAAATAAGACCTAGCGCATCTTTGGGAGCAAAAATTAATATAAGACACTGTCTTATTTTTGGGGAAACAGGGGTAGATTTCAGAGAGGAAGGGAAAGGGAGAGAGAGATAGAAACATCCATGGTGATAGAGAATCATTGATCAGCTGCCTCATGCATGCCCCCCACTGGGGATTGTGCCCTTGACTGGCATCGAACCTGGGACCCTTTAGTCCACAGGCTGAGTCTCTATCCACTGAGCCAAACCGGCCAGGGCTCAGCAAGTTCTTTTTAAAAGGTCACCTAGAATCCCCTCATCAAATGCAACAACTATTTTCACTTCGTTATTTCTGGTGTCCCGTCTCTGGCCCGTTTTCAGGCACACGTACGTGGGTTTCGGCTGGTGCCTTTGGGAGAAACCCTCCCCCGTAAGCCATCAAGCCCATCCTTCTGGGGCATCTTGCCTGCCCGCAACAGCAAGCCGCCCTGGGCCTGAGCACACGCCATTTTTTGGAATCTTTCCTAAGATTCCGTCAGCAATTTGGACAACAGCTGCCGCTTAAACTGGTCTCCTCGCAGCCTAGTTCTAACGTCAGAGCATGGGACATAATCTAAAGCTCTGACCCTGAGGGTCTGGTTTGATAAATTCCAGGCCACAGCTGTGGGTCACATCATTGAAAGGCCATGCACTGATGGGAGAAATTGCCAAGCGGAGGGAAAAAGACAGGCTATCGTCCGAAGAACCATAGTTTTTCCTTTGAAAACCTGTACATGGAAAGGAAAGGAAGGAAATGTTACATGCTGGAAGGTTTCTTTGGACGATGAACTCTGAATGGTTTTTATTTTCTCCTTTGCTGAATATTCTGTGTGTGTGTTTTTTGTGTGTGTTTTGTTTTTATGTTTTATTGATTTTTTACAGAGAGGAAGAGAGAGGGATAGAGAGTTAGAAACATCGATGAGAGAGGATCATCGATCAGCTGCTTCCTGCACACCTCCTACTGGAGATGTGCCCGCAACCCAGGTACATGCCCTTGACCGGAATCGAACCCAGGACCCTTCAGTCCGCAGGCCGACGCTCTATCCACTGAGCCAAACCGGTTCCAGCTGTTCTGTGTGTGTTTTTTGTTTGTGTCTTTTTACAATGATCAGACACTGCTTTGATCACGAGGGAAATAAAAACAAGAGGCTGCAAACGAAACATCAGGAGGGGTTTAGGTTAGACCCGGCAGCGTCCCCAGGCCTGCGGCTCGGACTCGGGCCTGTGGGTCTGCGTGCCAATGCCGCCCCCTCGCTCCCCGCAGGCAGGGAGGCCAGCTGCGAGGGCACCCTGCGTGCCGTGGACCCCCCGGTGAGGCACCACAGCTACGGGCGCCACGAGGGGGCCTGGATGAAGGACCCGGCCGCGCAGGACGACAGGATCTACGTCACCAACTACTACTACGGCAACGGCCTGGTGGAGTTCCGCAACCTGGAGAACTTCAAGCAGGGGTGGGGCGCGGGGCGGGGCGCGGGGCGGGGGGCGGGGGGCTGGGAGAGTCCCCCGCGGAGGGCTGGTCCTCCTTGCCTTGTGGTTTCCCGTGGCCCAGACTGCCCCAGCCTGGCCTCGCTCCACATGGCCAGCCACCCCGAGAAGGGGGCTCTGGGGTCCCCCCTGAGCGCTAGCACCATGCCCGGAGCTAGAAGCCTCGGCAGAGAAGATGGCCAAGACCCTGTTCTCAGGAGGGCAGCGCCCTTCGAGGGAAGCAGGACTTAGTTGCCACTGGTGCGTCTTGCATGCGACTCCCCCGTGTGAGTCAGCACAGGCTGTCTTTCTAATCCGGGGGGGGGGGGGGGGGGGGGGGGGGTGGTTACCACCCTGTTTACGGGTGAGCAGGGCCCCAGGCCTCCGAGGAGCTGCAGGTCTGGGCAGGGAGGACAGAATTCTGGTTATTAGATCTGGGGCACCGGGGGAGAAGGGTGGAGGGTCATTGAGCCATGGCCCACGCTGCAGAATTGCAGTCTTCCTCAGAAGGCAGGGACTTAAACGATTTTAGCACATGCAGTGCTGGAGGGAGAGCTTGGGGGGCCGTCGCCACCCTGCCGGGAGTCCAGGGAAGACTTCCTGGAGGAGGCGATGCTGAGCTGAGCCCTAGGGGAGGGGGAGAGAGAGGAGAAGGAAAGGTGTTCCGGGCACAGGCCCAGTGCATGCAGAGGCTCAGCAAGGAGAAGGAGCACTGTGACCCCGAGGGAGGGGGAGGGCGTAGAATGAGAGAGCGGCTGAGGCTGGCTCTGGGTGCCCCACGAAAGATTTTGGCCTTCCCCTGAGAGCTGCGGTGTCACAGGGTGTGACCTGGCACAGCTAAAGTCCCTCCTCTGCCAGATCCAACGGGCCTGGTCCCTGCCCCGAGGGGCGCAAAAGCCAGTGGAAGGTGCAAAGGCGAAGGTGCGGGAGGACGGAGGAGGGGCCCTCCCTCACGCCGGGGAGATCAGAGACAGCTTCGGGGAGGAGGAGGTGGCATCGGCTCAGGGTCAGAGAGACAAGGAGGCCTTCCCAGGCAGACAGGATGGGGCCCGGCAGTCCCGATAGAAGGGGCAGATGAGCCAAGCACAGAGGCTGGCGTCGGCCCGTTTCCTCCTGGGCAGACGGGATACTGGTCCTCTTAGGGGGACTGCGGGGATGGGGCTGCGGGGAGGTCCAGCCCCGGGCCCACAGCACACTCAGTACCACGGGGAGCGACCCCAGAGCCCTGGGTGGCCTCCCTGGGCCCCGGGTGAGCCGAGGGTGGGCGTGACCGGCCGCCCTCCCCGCCCCCGCAGGCCGCTGGAGCAACATGTACAAGCTGCCCTACAACTGGATCGGCACCGGCCACGTGGTGTACGGGGGCGCCTTCTACTACAACCGCGCCTTCACCAAGAACATCATCAAGTACGACCTGCGCCAGCGCTTCGTGGCCTCCTGGGCGCTGCTGCCGGACGCCGTGTACGAGGACACCACGCCCTGGAAGTGGCGCGGCCACTCGGACATCGACTTCGCGGTGGACGAGAGCGGGCTGTGGGTCATCTACCCCGCGGCGGAGGACGGCGGCGACGGGGCGCAGCCCGAGGTGATCGTGCTGAGCCGCCTGGACCCCGGCGACCTGTCCGTGCACCGGGAGACCACGTGGAAGACGCGGCTGCGGCGCGGCTCCTACGGCAACTGCTTCCTGGTGTGCGGCATCCTGTACGCCGTGGACACCTACAGCCGGCGCGAGGGCCAGGTGGCCTACGCCTTCGACACGCACACGGGCACCGACGCCCGCCCGCAGCTGCCCTTCCTCAACGCGCACGCCTACACCACCCAGGTGGACTACAACCCCAGGGAGCGGGTGCTGTACGCCTGGGACAACGGCCACCAGCTCACCTACACTCTGCACTTCGTGGTCTGAGCGGGACGCGCCCGCCGGAGAGGGGCTCTCGCAGCGGCTCCTGCAGGAACTCCATCCGCAGATATTTATTGGGGGCCGGAGGGGGTGCTGGGGGGAGGGGGCGGGAGCTAGGCATTGGCAGAGCCAGCAGAAAGCCTCCTTAGCGCCCAGGGCAATAATCTGCTTCCCCCCCAGAGCACTAACCCGCCTCCCCTCCCAGCAGCACCCGAGGAGGCAGAGAGAGTTCAGCCCATTTAACAGGTGAGGACACTGAGGCTCAGAGAGACAACATACCCCTTGCCTAAGTAGCCAGTTTAGACCAGGCAGGCCACGTGTCACCACAGCCCCCACTTGGACAGATGAGACGCGACCATCCTGTCCCCCTTGTCTCTCCCTCGCCCCTCTCTCCTAAGGGCTCTCGTGCTCACAACTCTGCCTCCCTTCCCGGGGCCTCTGAAAACCGCGGCCCCGGGCACCAGGGCACTCGTGTTGGGTGAAGGCCAGGCTCTGTGCCACCCCAGGTCCCCATCCTGGCCAAGCGCTAAGTGCTGGTGGCCCTGGGCTCCGGGCCCTTTGGCTCCGGGCCCTGCTCCTTGGCCGTGGCCAGCCCTCCTACCCTACCCCACCCGCTGTCCAACCACATTCCAAACCTCCGTGGTCACCCAGCCCCTGAGCAGAAACCACACCCCAAGAAAAATACCAGCCCCCCCCCCCCCCCCCCCCCCGTTCCAAGTTCCCAACCCCCTCTGTACTCAGCCCTATTTTCCCTCCGTCCTCAGTGCTGTCATTTGTTTCTGCAGCAACAGCTGAGGAGGCTGCAGGCAGCTGCCTGCCAGCAGCGACGCTACCGGGGGCAGGGAGCCGGGCCAGCCCCCAGCTCCCTCTCCACCCACGGGAGCTGACCCAGGCCAGGGGGCCGCTCCCCGGTCCCGCCCAGAGCCTCTGGGCCCGGGTCTACCTTGTCACTCGGGGCAATTCAGGCCACAACTACGTGCACTCAGGGAAACCGCCAGCTCCACCAGGCCTGAGGTCAGGGTGGGCGGGGCGGGGAGCAGGATGAAACAGATCCCCCCTTCTTTGTCAGCCCTGGCCTGGTCATTTGGTGACATGGCCCAGCAGCCCGGGGGACTGGGGAAGGCTGAGATCGGAGCAGTCGGGTCCAGGGGAGCCGTCGGACCTTCTGGTTGCAGGAAACAGCCGGAGCCCTATTCCTGGCTTCAGCGATGCTGGTGCCAGGGCTGCCCCGAGCCCAGGATCAGGGGCTGCGGCAGCACTGATGGGAGTCCCGCCTGGAACTGCCCATGGCCCCCTGGGCCTCAGATCCAGGCAACGAGACCTTGAAGCCTGCCCCTCGTCTGCTCGGACTGTTGTTTGAGAGCTGGGAAGCTCTCCAGTCCAGCTCCCTGTTTCAAAGGAGAAACAAGCCCAGAGAGGTTGAGAGAGGGCACGGGGCCACCCCGGGAACAGGATCCAGCCGATGTCCTTCCAGAAGGTCTTACTCTTCGGGCTTAGAGGCAGCTCTGCCTGGGAAGACGATAGACCACCCAGCACCCCATCCCTCCCAGCCCCTCAGAAAGGTATTGACTGCTGATCCCGCTCCCCGGCTGCCGGCTCCTGGTATCTGTATATTTGGACACTGTTGTCACGTGAGGAAGTCTAGCTGCCTCCCTAAGAGTGTAGGGAAATGCGTTTTGTGCTGAATCCATTTTTTCGTCAGGTGGTTTTGTATTGCCAGGCGCTGCGCGGTGATGTTGTTTTGCTTGAGCTGTAACTCACCCCTGAAGCACAGAAGGATGGCGCCCGGCCGAGCGGGGCGTGACTCATAGCCGCGGATCCGTCCAGCCTCCTCCACCCAAGCATCCCGTCCCCTCACAGGCCCGTCAGGGGCTGCGTGTCCCCTGACCCTGGGTGTGTGTGCGTTTTACCAGACTGTGTCCTTGATGATATCACAGCCCAACCATGTGAGGAGGGTTCAGGCTCCTCTGTCTCCATCCGTCTGAGAAAAGGGAAAGTGAGGATGGAACTGGTTTTGAAAAATTAAAGGACAAGCAAGATGGTTGTCCGGGAAGATGATTCTGGCTGGCTGCAACCTCCACGCACTTACTCAGCCTCCTCTGTTTTCAGGCCCTCTTTACGTGGGTTATGGGGTAGGAATGGTTCTTTTCCTCGTGTGACAGAGAGTCAGACTGCAGCCTGGAGAAGTTAAGTCACGCAGGCAGCTCAGTGGAGGGCTAGGTTTCAAAATCAGGTAATAAACCCTATTCATGGACTCATCACCCGTGTGCTAAGCCATGTGCATATTCTTGCACCTTCACAACAATATAAGGTACATACTCTGAATATGCCCATTTTACAGATGAGGAAATTGAGGTGAAAGGACTTACCTAAGGTCCCAGAGCAGCTTAGTCTGTGGCAGAGCTGGGGTTTCAGGGCTGGTCATATATTTTCTAGGCTAACTGTATGCCACCCTAGCAGCAGCTCTAAAAAAAATGGTGGCTGTTGCTTTTATTCAGGATGGCCAGGCCACAGATTATTGCATCTACATATGAGACCCAAGAAGGTTGGGGTCAGCTTGGAAAGAGCCTTGAATGCCAAGCCAGCAGCATTCAGAACAAAGCCAAGCATAAATGAACAGAGAAGAGAAAGTTCTCAGGCCATTAGGCTTCTACCAAAGCCCCAAGCTAACTGTTGTTAGGAATCTTGAAACCAGTCATGTTTTCTGTTTTGCTTTGGCCACTGGGGAGCTCAAGGTCAGATGTGTTATTATTTTTAACAATTGTACTGAGTCTCCCACTGGACTCGGCTTCGTTCTCGTCTTCCTGCTTTTACCTTTACCCTCATCTCTTTATTTTTATCCTGTTGTATGTTATCTATTTTTGTAAGTTGCCACAATCCCTTGTTTGCAATAAAGTGGCGTATACCTAAATAAACACATGATCGAAAGCTTGACCTGAACTTCTTGACTAAATGCAATGGTCTACATCCTTATCATAACACAAAGACAGTTAACAACTTTTTAAAAACACCGAGTTTGGTGTGAGACTTGGCCTCGTCACTCTACGGGTCTGAACAATGAGTGAGGGCAGGAGAATCCGGGGTGACCTGAGAGCCACCCCTCCCGGCGCTGAGGAGAAGCGAGCATTCCCGAGGTGCTCAGATACCGCCCCGCGCCCTGCCTTCCCCCACGGGCTGCAGACAGGCGTATTTACACTCGATCTCTGGAGGAGAAGTAAACATAGAAAAAAATGCTTTCCTGGAAAAAAGCATTGGGGAGGGGGCCTTTTCCCAAACTGGAGGCATTCACTCACGGGTTCCGTGCGGAACACTCCAGAACGCCATCTCAGATCGTTAAGGTTGGGAGCTGACGGGACATTTCCAGTGACTCCCCCCCCCCCCCCCCCCACCCCCCCGCAGTTCTAGGAGCGTGAGAAACCCATCTTCCTGGGAAGATACCCACCTAAACACTCACCCTGGCCTCTCTGTTGTTATGGCGACAATACTCTCATGCCCTGGACACCACAGGCACCCAGCTCTGTGCCCCATTCAGTGTCCAAGGCGGCTCGGCGGCTGACAGAGGCCAGAGGCTGTGGGGCTCATTGGTTTGGGGACCTCCCCCTTACCTACTTGGCTGAAGGCTGAGAGGCCATGGCAATTTCTGGGTGGTTTTGTCAACCCTGAGCGAGATGGCCAGCACGCAGGGGGCTTTCAGGCAGTGGTAGCTACTGTGCCCTTGTGACCAGAGAATCTGCCAGGTCTCCTGGCAGGTCCATGCCATGCACTGTGGACTATCCACAGGGGCACCGAGCTGAGCGGGTCCCATCCCTCCCCTTGAGAGCTCCCTGGGAGGTGGGCAAGCAGGTGCCACCGCCTCCACGTGGCGTCCTTGGTGCTCCAAGAGCTGAGGACCACACTTCCCTACCCACCCGCCCCCAATCAGGGCAGAGCCTCCTCAGGTCGCCTCTAAAGAGGTCAGGGGACCCTCTGGGCACTTTTGACTTTCTCCCTGGCACATCAAGCCCTAAGATCTCCCCTGGGCTGAGATGAGAAAGGAGAAATAGTAACGACTGCCCAGAGGAGCTCCCACATCTGTGTGCTCTGTGCCGGCTGCAGTGCCAAGTAAGTCCGGTATCATCTCCTCGAATCCTCCCAGGAGCCCCATGACACAAGCACTATTGCTGTTCGTATCGCACAGAAGGGAAACTGGGGCACCACCTGCTATGTCACATGTTCAGGGTCACATGGTTGGTGTGGCTGAGCTGCTATTCAATCAAGGCCTCATGCCAGTGGCTCTCAGCCCCGGCTCCCAGCAGAATCACTGGGATTGTTTTAAAAGGTGCCAATGCCGGGCCCCGCTGGCATGACCTATGAACCAGGAGGACATGGTTCGATTCCCAGACAGGGCCCATGCCCGAGTTGTAGGCTCCATCCCCTGTTGGGGGTGTGCAAGAGGTAGCACATCAGTGATTCTTTCTCATCATTGATGTTTCTATCTCCCTCTCCCTCACCCTCCCTCTCTGAAATCAATCAATAAAAACACACTTAAATAAGTAAATAATAAAAGATGCCAAAGTCAGGCACACCCCAGACCAACACACCATGCATTCTGGGGGCAAGGAGTGAGAGATGTTGTGTTCTTAAAGCTCCCCAGAGATTCTGCCATGCTTTCGAGGCTGAGGTCTCCTGCAGCTCAGGAGGAGCCACCGGGGCATGATGGGTGATGGTAGATCTGCCAGATGCCAGGCTGCACCCAGGAGAGCACCCTGTGCCCAGGCTGTCCCAGAAGAAGGAGCAGAGAGAGCAAGGGCGAGTGTCAGCTATGTCTCCTCAATGGAGCCACTCGGCCGGGTGGGGGCGGGGTCCTGAGGGCCCAGAGCACAAAGGCTCCCTCTGCCCCGGGCGGTGCCCAGACACTGCCCCCTGCTCCCCCAGCCCCGTCTGAACTCTGCCCACAACTGGGGCCGGCACCTCGACCCCCCACATTCCGACGGGGACCCCACGAGGCAGGAACAGACAGGGCTTTCAGGACACACGCCTGTGGGGGATGAATTATTACCGAGAATTGTCTGCCATGAGCACGGGGTGGCATTTCACGTGCCAAAGGTTGGCTGGCCCCGCCCTGGCCCAGGCTGCTTGGCTCCAGGGCCCTCATTCCAACTGTGCGAGGACAGAAACTCTATTCTCTTCCCCAGCGAGAGGCCTCCACCCTCACCATCTGTGCACAGCCCCCAGGGAGCCCCCACCCCCACCCGGGGCCAAAGCCTCCGTTTTCCAGGCTCAGCACGGAGCGGATTAGGTGAGGGTGACTCAAAAGTCAAGCTTCCCAGGTCTCTGAGCCAGGGATTTGTATTGACGGGAAAGTCATTGTCAGTCCCAACCTGTTCTGGCTTCTCTGCACGGAGCCCTGACAAGTGCAGGCAGCCGGGGAGTGGGCGCGCTGCTCAGGGAAGGAGCCATCGCTTTGGGAGCCAGGTAGATCCTGGGTTTGAGTCCTGGTGCCACCACCTGAGGCCAGGGGGACTCAGGCACTCTCCTAGAGGTCTCTGACCTCAGTTTCCTTGTCTATAAAGTGGGGATGACAATCTTTACCTCCCAGGAATGCTGTAAGGTTGAAATGAAATAATGGACATGAAAAAGCTCTAAGTGGGGACATGGAGGGCACACAGCAGGGCGAGGCACAATGACTGTAAGGGACCTCAAAGACTTATTAAACACACACACACACACACACACACACACACACACACACATTATTGATTTCAGAGAAGGGAGAGGGAGAGAGAGAGAGAGAGGAACATCAATGAAGAGAGAGAATCATTGATCAGCTGCCTTCTGCATACCCACACTGGGGATTGAGTCTGCAACCCAGGCCTGTGCCCTTACCGGGAATCAAACCATGACTTCCTGGTTCATAGGTCGCTGCTCAACCACTGAGCTACTCTGGCCAGGCCTCAAACATTAATGTAATGCACCACCCTCATTCCATCCCCAGGGCCCCAGGTTGGGGCAGACCCAGTGCTGTCAGCAAACCCAAGCATATCCTCACAATGGATGGCTCTCCTTGCCTTCTGTACCAGAGAGCTGTTAGAGGCTGGCTGCTCAGATCGGTGGGTAGTGGCTGTCCCTGGGAGCTGCCCACTGGGCCCACGGAGGACACCGAGCAGTCAGCAATGCCTGCCACTAGAATGAGAAGTCGGGTGGTGGAATGCTAACTGTCGCCATTTCTATTTTCGGGCAAGGTCTAAATAATACTCTCACTCTAGTTTCTGCCTGGATTTCTGTGACAGCCTCCACCCTGATCTTCCTGCTTCTTCCCGCCCTCTGATCCTCAACTTCAGCTGCTGGAATGGATTTGAAAATGGAAATCTGACCATTTCACTCCTTTACCTGTCCCTGTCCCAGGGCCCTTCCCACTGCTCTGAGGATCAAACCACGCTCCCAGGGGTAACATTCAAGGCCTCCATGCACCCTCCGGTCTCATCTCCATGGCCACTCACTTCCAAATGTCCCAGCCTCAAACCCCATTACCTGAGGACCTTTAAGAACTGAGATGAGAATCTGAGGAACGTGGAAAGTCATACCGAAAACCATGTGCCCTGCCTCACAAGACCAGATGCAGATCAGACGGCAGCCCCGAGACCTCACTGCATTTGGCGAGTGAGCTGAGCCAACCGGAGGGAGCTGGTCAACTTCCAATGAACCCTGACGTGCACTTGAGCAGAGCTGTCATCCGGTTCACCCCTAACCACGCTGATGAGATTAGTCCCGAGTTGCCCCCGCAGAGGGGACTTTCTTTCCTCTCTCTCTCTCCTGATTGCCCATTCCAAGGCAAATCCCTTCGTCAGCAAGACACAGGTCGGAAGCTTCCAGGCCACCGCTGTGTGCAAAGCTTTTATGTCCGGGATCCAGGCATGCACTAGGGTCCCTGCCCCACCAGAGCCCGGTGGGGTTCCTCCTCATTCCCGCTGTCCCAGCTCTCGCTATTCCCTAGATATTTCAATCTTTCAACCTCACAAATTCCTGCCCTGATCTCCTGCTCTGGCCTGGCGTGGGGGCGAGCCTTGAAGATTCGGAGATGGCACAGTGCTAGTGTACCCTGAATATTTCAATGAACCTGTCAGGAAGGGGTGGTGGTCGAGAAGCACAACCCGCGTTGCATGGCTGGAGAGTGAGGATCTTATAAACAAATCTCAAAGGATCTGCATCTGTTCCAAAAGATTGGCACCTGTCCTGAAATCGCTAAGGAAGAGTCTAGGCTTGCTGAGGAGACAACCATTTGAATTAGTTCCTCGAGGGAAAATAGCTTCTTTAAAGAAAAGAATCCAAACAGGTTTCCTTCTTTCTAGCTTCTGTTTCACTTTTTCCATTTACGTGATGTAAAAGTTACAAGAACAGCACAAAGGATTCCCATATACTCTTCCCCCAGATTCACCTCTTGTTATTATTCACTTTTTGTGACATTTGCTTTATCGTTCTCTCTGTGCATTTTTTCCCTAAACCATTTGAGGGGAAATTGCCGTGGTGATATCCCCTTTACCCCTATATTTCCTCAGAAAATGGGCAGTCACATAACCACAGTACAATTAGCAAAACCAGGAAATTGAGCATCGACATAACATCATATCTAATTTACAGGTATTGTTCAAGATCGGAAAACCTTCCCAATGACGCCCTTTAGAGCAATTTTTTTCCTGTCCAAGTCCATTATCTCATTTTCTAGTTCATATTTTATTTTCACGTCTCTCAGTCTGCCTTACTGCCCAAGCACTTCCTCAGCCTTTCTTTGCTTTTTATGACAGTACTATTTTTTTAAAAAAATGTGTTTTTATTAATTTCAGAGAAAAGGGGAGAGGGAGAGAGAGGTAGACACATAAATGATGGGAGAGAATCATTGACTGGCTGCCTCCTGCACGCCCCCTACATGTGCCCTGACCTGAAAGCAAACCATGACT